ATTTTCGGCACTGGGAGTAAAGTTCAACTTATTTACCATAATACCATCGCATTTTCTCATATTTTTTCATTTTTTTAAAATTTTCAAGCTCTTAAATCTTACATTTAATGCACGAGATGAATTCTTATTTATTTCATTAAATTGCATTTACGCTACGAGGATTCTTAAAAGTATCAAATCATCGTAGAATATGCCCTGATCTGATTTTTAGTTTTTCTCTACACTTATAATGTAGTTACTTCTATTCAAAATTATTGAATGCCACTAACTATCTGAGATTCTGAATGCTCTTTTTTCCAGTCCGTCCAAAGAATTAAATAAATTAAGTCGTACATGAGGATGTACTTTTTGGTTAATTTTTTAATATGTCTATGTCAATAAATACTATGTCAATAAATACTACCTCTCTTTTAAAAAAATCCATATTTGATTTTCACACAGTTAAAGAAAAATATTGAAAAGTAAAAAAAATGGAATTTTTTGGAACAAACAAAGAGAAATGAGTGAAGATTTTTGCATGTTGAAAAGAAAATGGCTTTTTTATGAAAAAAATTGTAAGTGTGAGTCACAAAAACTTAATGCTCCACCTTTTGAAACTTAAATTTATAAGTTTGGAAGGTATAATGAAAAAATGAAAAATACTTTATTAAATTTATAAGTTAATAATACAAAGTATAGTAATTGATCAAAAAATTAAATTTTTAAAAAAACTTGATTAAAAAAAGGGAGTGAAAGAGAAGTGGTCATACACTAATAATTTTTGAAACTTAAGGCAATAAGAAATCTTTATTAATCTACTTGACAATGAAATTAAAATGGATCCACATGTCAATTTTTGATATGGAGAGGCATCCATGCCCATGGATTAGCAAAGGCACTATAGAAAAATCCATCAAGTATTTAAGCTCAAAAATGGTCACTCATATCATCAAAAAATAAATTCAACCAAAAGCTCAAAATTTGTAGTTGTGACCCATGAAAGATTTTTATACTCTGACACACCATTCACGTTTCGGGGTGGCTGCTTCAAATCTTGCACATGAACTTTAATTTTATTTAAAACTGAGTGGCGGTGATGTTCGAACTCGTGAGTTCTTAATATAAAAGGCTGTGATATTATATCAAAATATCAATTTAATCAAAAGTTAAAATTTGTAGTTGTGGCGGCCTATGTAAAAATTTGTTATACTCTAACACATATGTCTACATGTACTAACCTCACACATACGATGGAATATGCTAGCAGAGGCTATGATATCTACGTACACATTCCTAACAGTAATTAATTACTCCCTCTGTCTCCCATAGATCTTCCCAATAGTCCTTTTTCTTTGTCCACAATAGATCTTCTCATTTCATTTTTTAACAAGTAAAATACCACAACTACCCCCACTTACTTTATTTATTACACCTCACCCACCTCATTTAATACACTCCACCCATTTTTCATTAAGGGTATTATGGTAAACTTTCACCTTTTTTCAACTCTCCTTAAAAACTACCAAAAGTCAAAATGGGAACATCTTAGGCGGACGGAGGGAGTATCTTATTTCTCAAGCCTTCCATATTCATTCCAATCGAATGTAATAATAAAATAATTTATTTTTTTTTTAAAAAAAAGTTTGATTCTCAAATCTTAACCTCGTTGTCATTAACCACAAGAATATATTTTCTGTAAAAAAGGGCTTGTTAGAGTATAATTGCAATATCATCAATAGAAGCCATGCATGCATATGTCAAATCATTAGTTCGAATATATATATACGTGTACGTCCATTATATTGCTGCCTCCGTTTTTTTTGTTGTTTTCCACATTTTCATTTCGGAATATACTCACTCCATCTCATATCTTTATTCCCAGTGCAATGTTCTAGTTTCACGGGAATTTTTATTTATTTACGTTTTTTCATTGCCTATATGATAAAATAAAATATTCTTGTCACTACTTGTTTTGTTAAACTTTTGATGTAATTTTTAAATATATAAATTTTAATTTTCATTTTTATATCCATATTTTTAAAAATAGATTGAAAAAACTTGGGTTTTTGCTTGTTTTTGCTAGGGGTGTAAACGAACCGAATCGAAGCGAATACCGATATATTTGAATTTGTATTTGTTTAATTTTTTTGAATACGAATCCGAATCCGAATATGAGACGAATTCAAAATAAGATTTGAATAAGTATTTGATTAATATTCGAATAGTTATCGAATCATAAACGAATATTTGAATAAACATACTATGTAATTTATATGATAGACCAACATTAATTTATAATTTAACTTACGATACTCTTCATACTATACTATATTCCGTATATAAAAACATTAATACATTTGCATCTTACACAAATTATATTTTATAAAATATAACTATTAAAAATCATATGCTTTAGATTTTTGTGTTACGTTAATTTATTGAATTCTTAGTATTTTAAATACACTTTATACTATATTACTTTGCTTGACTTTTGATGTTGAAAACATGGTCTGTGTGTGTGTCTATATATATATATATATATATATATATATATATATATATATATATATATATATATATATATATTCGAATATCCAAATATCATCCGAATCGAATATATCCCTATTTGTATTTGTATTTGATTAATATTCGAATCAAAAATAATATTTGAATTTGAATTTGTATTTGAATAACGCAAATTCGAATCATCATATTCGAATACAAATCGCGAATCGAATTTAAAATATTTGATTTGTTTACATCCCTAGTTTTTGCCCAACGCGAGGAAAGATATGAGACGGAGGGAGTATGTTTCAAACCACGTATTCCCATACTACGGAAACATGCATGTTCTTTTAGATTGAAAAAATAAAATTAAATGTTAAAATTAGAGAAATAGTAAGAAACCAAACCAGAAGAATCTGAAACAAATGAGTTGTAAAAACTATTGAAAAGAATTATAATAAACTGAGAAAAATTAGAAAAACTAAGAATTAAAAGAAATTCAAAGAAGTTGGAAGAAACTACAAGTGGAAAAAGACGAAGAAATTGAACTGGAAAAAATGATAAGGAGCTGAATTGGAAAATATTGGAAAAGAGTTTTGATATCATGATTTAAGATTCGCATGTGAAATATAGACCTTCTCACATATTTTCTATAGACTCATAGTTGAATCTCTTTATTTTTACAAACCTTAATACGTATAACCATTTTTGTATTAAACTCCATTAAATGAGTATGGACCTAAGCACTACAAAAGAATTTACCATTGAGAAAAATTGAAAGGTGTTAAAATAAAGAGTTGTGCCAATGCCTCCATTCAGAAAAGAATTTATCTGTACTTTTGAAAGGTGTTAAAATAAAGAGTTGGAAAATATAGGGAAAAAAAATTTATATGTACTTTTTCTTAACCTAATGATGTATAGTGAGCCAAAGCCTCCATTCAGAATCAAAGCTAGGTGAGCATCCCACAATTCCTACAAGATTTTGGGGATCGGAGTGATCTTCCTGTCATTTAAGTCAAGAGAGAAGCTCGTTTTGAAAACCTTTAAGCTAAATAGTATCGTGGGATAACATTTTTTCGAAACACTAAAGATTATAAGTGTTGAAATTGTTACCAAACGAGCCAAAGAGTGTATTATGTACTCTGTAGTATTAGCAATAAGTATTTTCTTCGTCCCACAAAGAAATTCGAAATTTCTTTTATAAAATGTCCAAAAATAAGTTCACATTCTCTCATTTCCTTTTGAAGAAGTGGATATGCACTTTAGAATCTTTCTCCCCCGCCTTCAAACAAATTGTAGTTACACTATTAAAATTTCGGTGAGCCGAGAATAACGGGTTGAGTGTCGGAACTCTATCACTCCCCCTCAAGTGGTAACTAGCCTGGTCTGGTTATCACTTGGACAAATGGATCTAACATAGCCGAGAATAACGGGTAGAGTGTCGGGTAAAATTAACCACTTGTATATAAAGTCGGGGTCTACTATTCTAACTCAAAAAGCTTAAGCTGATAGGTAAGATTTCATCTTTCTATATATGCTAGTGATGGTCTTCTTTATTTTCGGATGCGGGAACTCCATCAATTTTCAAGTTCAACTTTTATTCCAAGTACGTTAAACTAGCTTTTTTTCTTCTATCTAGCTTGTAGTGAAGGGAATGTTTTTGTGATAGCGCATTACTTAGTAGATTGCATGCATGTGTTTAAAAACAAAAGCAAATCCACCATTTAAAGGTGAAAAGTGAAAAGCGCCAGAAATTGAGTAAATAAATAATTCATCTCAAAAACACAAATAAGTTAAAAGTTATTAAAACTTGGATGGTGTCTTCAGATTATGGAATATGAATTCAAAATTGTAAATTAAATTCTAAAAACTGTTTTTAGCAAATTTATGTACGAATAACTACTTTTCGATTCCGACTTGGCATTTTTGTTTTTCCAAGAGGATGCCACACTCCAAAACAGGCTTTCAAATGTTGTGTGTGAAAGATGAATAAATTTATTTTAACACTAGAGTTTGACACCAAAATATAATATCATGTGTTTCACAAATATGCAGATATATAGATAATGATTGTCTTAACGGCCCAGATGATGAATGTCTATTTATGTATATGGAACACATGATACCAAATTTTAATGTTCTTTAGTGAGAGGATGTGAAGGCTGTTTTGCTCTTTGGATTCATTCAATCATCTTGCAAAGACACTAATGTCCTATGCTCTCATGGCGTGCAATATTATGAGAAAATTAATTAAAATTCATTGAAATTTAAGTGGAAGGAAAAGTTGATCGTATCGAAGTAGGGTCTTATGGAAGTATCTACATAGATATTGCCCAAACTTGAAAGTAGAAAGATTGTTTCCAAGAGAGGAGTATCCTAGCTACTATGAGTTACCGAGTAAAATAGACTGTCCCAAAAAGATTGTTCATTTCTTTTTCGGGACATTCAAAAAAAAGTCTGATTTTCCCCGTAACTTTCTATGACTCATAATCTTCCTCTTTCTTCTGCGTCACTTTCAACCACACAATTTTTCATTTCTTAAGCTATCTGCCAAAACAAAAGAGGAATCTTATTTTGAGACGGAGGGAGTATTTCTCTACACAAAAAATTGTCAAATCCGAGGATAATCGGAAGAATTTTGTACTTCACCAGCTAATATCGAAAATTTGAAATGATCCCATGGTTTCATAACTTAGAGCCATCCTTTGAATCTTCTTGGCCTCCTTAGAGTCATTGGGCAAGGATTCATCCTTAAGACAGACAGAGTAAATGGTTTTAGCCACATAAATTGTACGCCTCGACCCGCATAGCATCATCTCCACCCGGGCGGTTTTAGAGACATCTTTTGGGGTAACCTGCATAAAGTTTTTTATGAGGGGCTCAAATAATGAGAAGAAAGTACTTGTTGGGAAGCTACCAATTATTATACTAACTACAACTATTATGTTTTCCTCTCTATCCTTGGGCAAGTCAACAACACTGTTCACTTGCCCGACGACTAGGTGGCTCTCGAGTGTCACAACTTTGATCTTCAAGAGGCACAGGGGTTTTTACAAGCGTTAGGCCGCCCGAGAGCACATCATACTGTGCTTCATTGTTTGTAGATGCACCGATGATGTGTGACGTCTCACCATGGTCGGGCTTTTATGCAGAGGGGAGCTCAAATATCTCTTGAAGTCATCACCATAGCTTAGCACTCTAGTGCCCATTCAAATGATAAAATTAAACCTTATTCATCAACTAGAACAAGTGAAGAACATAATGACCTTATATGCTATTATATCTAAAGAAATCTGATCCAATTTGCAAAACTGCATATCAATCAATATGCACATCCTCCAAGCTTTTCGGGATGGAATTTCCATGATGGACTTCACCTTCTCGGAGTTTTGGATCAATGTTGCGAACCAACATGAGGTGTCCTATGAACTTTTTGCCTTCAAAACAAAGGCACACTTCTTTAGACTCAATTACAACTTAGCCTTAACCATGATTTAAAAGCATTTGATCATATATATATCTTCATCATGGGTGTCCCTTTTTTCCCTTGATCTAGATGTCACCCATGTGTGCTTTCATATATAGCCAAGAACCTCCTTAAGAGCTTCCCAATCAAGTGGCGATTGCATTCCGTATGCATCACAATACCACAATTATACCCCATCTGAGATGACGTAGTATCATCTAGAGCCCTAAAAACTTGATGATAGTCTCTAAAGGCATCCGTAAAATCAAGAGTTCGCATTTTATGGTCTCACTGAAAATGAGGTTAATTCTGGGGACAGGGCAACCATCCATTGGACATGAGTTGCTGAGGTCAATAAAATGAACACACATCCACCACATTGGAAGCATCAAAGAAGACACAAAATGAGCCCTAAATCTGGATGATAGTCTCCGAAGGCATCGATAAAGTCAAGAGTGTGTGCCCTATGGCCTCATCGAAAACCACCCATTAGACATGTTTTGCTAAGGTATAATCAACACACGTCCTCTGTGTTGGAAGCTTCAAAGAAGACACAGAATGACCGCTCCGATGTCTTTGATTAAAAATAATGTCTCAATTACCTTCTTCATAGATGTCCTCTGTCCCGGCATATACCATTTTGTCTTTTTCCAAACGGTTTCACATCAAGTTTCAGGCCTAGACAATGACAGATAAGGTATCAATTTATTCTAACCATGTCCTCAGGACATCAGGCAAACAAAATCTTGAATCTCTTCAAGGAATGTATTTATCTGTTCAGACATCCCAAAACATTCTGGTGATGATTATTATCTTCTTATCAAGTGGGGAATAAAGTCAATAGGTTCCGACTATTTAGCTAGTTTGGGTTGAGACAATGATTCTTCGTTCTGGACTGAATACGCCTGATTAAGTAAAGTAGATAATTATTTAATTTTTGTCTCAGAGCCCGGCATGGGCCATTGGGCCGAGCCTGATGCTCTGGGTTGTTGCCTGTTGGGTGAATACTGGACTGGATACACCTGATTATCTAAATTCTAAAGTGGATAATCATGTTAACAATTATTGAACAAAGTGGATCATTCCTGGTTGACATTTGTATATATGTCTTTTAGGAAAGTGGATCTAGAACGTACTAGTACTACTCTGTCAAATTTTGAAGTGCAACGAGGTGTATACATCTGATTGTAACATCTTTTAGGTCATCAAGAAGTGATTTAAATGATTATATAACTAATGTAGAGTCATTAGAAAATACTCTGTACTAGTCTGAGGTTTAAGAAATGTGGAAAACAATATCTAGTTTATTGAACCTTGGTTTCATAGCTCAATGTAGTTTTACATATTCAGACAAAAAAACAATAACAATTTCAACTACAATTCCAAGGTGCTATCCATCCATCCATCCCATAAAAGGTACCGGGTTTGACCCAACATGGTTATTACAAATTTACGATATTGAAATTATGCACTTGAGATTTATGCATATGAAACAAAATTTATATGAGCCACATAATTTTTCCCTAAAAGAAAATATGTAACTTACTTTAGGACAAATGAAAAGAGAAAACATGAAGTCATCAACGTTATTTTTTAAAAAGTGAGAGAATACAAACAGGCTTCTTTTTTTTGCACTGAACATGTCCAGCCTCTATGTGAATGCAGCAGAAAAACTATTAACACATTCAAAGAAGGCTTCAGTTTGTGTGGTCTGGTGATATCAAAACTAGAAAGTGACTAAGACAATACATTTCTTAAGAACACCAAGCATATGATCTAGAAAATTCCAAACCTTCAATCGATGGCGCTATTTGATTCAAAACCAAGAATTCTTAGGAACTCTTACAGGCATGCCACCAGATGCTGCATTGGCTCGCTTTCTTCTGTAGTATATAGTCGAACCACTTATCATCAGCAAGCCCAACATTATTCCCTGGAAAATGCAAAAAACCCCAATCAGAATATGATCATATTGAAATGCATAAACATATACTCATGTGGTTTCTGTGTGGCTGGGTAAGTACGAGGAGAACAAATCAATAGAACTTTCTGTTTGAAGAAAAAAAAATCTGTGGGCTAACAATGCTTGCAAGAAGCCATGAATGATGCACAATACATGCAGTGGCATATCCAGAACGATTCATCACCGACCATACTTACTGAACAAACATAACATTGACTTGTCCAGAAAAGGATAACAAACTTCTCACGACATCACTTCATTACTACTTTGTGTCAGACAGCAACAACGAGCCCATAAGATTTCCTTTGGTTACTATCACATGACAACCATATTAAGTGCTCCTATAGTTAAAAAGGGCTAGTGGCATGTTACTTTTTCAATGCGGGACAAATTCCACCATAAACACTACCCACTTGCTCTATCACTTCATACTACATGGAGTCCAGGGGCACCACTTTGAGAATCAAATTCGCATTTACTCAATAACCTTTCTCGGCGCATAATAAATTGAAACATCCATCTCACTTGGGAAGACATATGTACATATGGTAACGGCCCCAACAATAAGTGAAACTCGTTGATATTTAAAATTATTTTTCTATCACTTTTTCAAGCGGGCGATATAGAGAGTAAGTGGACTGGGGGCATTTTATTTTCGGAATTTGGGCTTGAAGATTTTTTTAAAAATTAGTCAAAACTAATATTTCGGAAAGTCACTGGGGGCACCCCCCCCCCCCCCCCCCCCCTCCAACACCCTTAACTTGCATCCGCCCTTGAGTACATGGCAAACAGAAATTAGTTTATAGCTATGGTATGATCCTCTGGCAATGTTACCAGGCTATTTATCAAATGCCATAAACCAAACAACAGTAAAAACAACTTAGGTGTCATTTGTTATACCCTTTACTGCAGTGAGTTGAAATTGTTTATACATGAGCTTTTTCTGCACTGAGTTCAATAATTATACTCCCTCCGTCCTGCAAAAGTTGTCCCACACTTTGACTTTCATGGAGTTAAAGAAAAGTGTTGAAAATTGAAAGTAGTGGTTGATATTTTATGGAAAGGAGGGAGAAATGTCGTGAGCCACATGTGTTTGTTCCTTAAAAGAAATGTTGTAAAAATATTTGCGTGAATGGGCATGAAGCAAATGGAAATATAAGATAATAATGCACACAAATGGAGTGCAATGCAAGAATGAAAGAAGAGCACATGGAGTGTGGGAATATAGAATCTTTGGCCACACTTGGCAAACAACGGTTTGTTAGAGGCGTATGTTAGTTGTTCACTTGTTTGGGTAGATGTTTCTGTCAGTTGTTGCTTGTTTGTGATAGTTGTTTAACAAAAAACTAGTAGATAAGTTGAGTTGTTTTCTCTGAGGTTTTTTTTAGTGGTAAAAAGTTGTAGACTGGAAAGGTTATCTTAAAAAAGCTTGATTGTCAAGCTTTTTTTATCCCAAAAAGTTGTTCTAAAAAGCTGCTCACCAAACACTTCTAATCGGCACTGGACTAAGCATTACGCTAAAAGGGCTCTTTTCCAGCTTTTTCTGCCAAAAAGATGTGCACCAAACAGGGCATTTATCTCCAATGAAAATAAAAGGCAAGGGCTACAAGCCTTAGAATACACTCTTTCATATAATCTTTCCTGCTTAAAATCATCTTCCCACTTACAGTTTTTATTTTCCTTAAATCAACTTCTCATTCCCTGTTTTGGAAAATTTCGACTGGTGAAACATCATTTTCATCCTCAACTTTTCAACCTAAATATTTCACTATAGCTTATTAACTAATCATTATTCCCCAATTAATAACCCCACTAACCAAATTCTCAAGTCTCAACCCAGTCATAAAATGTGTGCCACTTTCACATGGCTAAATGATTTTAGGACAGAGGGAGTAGTTAACTTGGCAAGTATGACAATGAAAATCACAATCAAGACCCTTGTGCTCCATTCAATCATAGTAAAATTGTGAGAACATTGTTCATGATGCTAAGGTAGACTAGACTTTTCTTGAGGTACTGAAGTATACTCATAAGATGAAAATAGTCTTAGGGATGTTTGGTTATTGGTGGTGGTCTTTCGGAATCAACCTCTCAACTTCCCATGCATGGGTAAGGTTTGCATAGACTCACCCTCCTTAGACCCCACAGTGTGGGAGTTTACTAGATTGTGGTTACATGTTTTTATTGTTGTTGTTGGGTTGGCATTTCAGAGTTCAGACAAAAACACCATTTTCGGACAGAAAACACAGCTTAGAACAGCAGCACGGTGCCAAAATACAAACAAGGCCTTAAAGTATTTGCAGTGGTAACAAAAATTTATTGCGATATCTACAGCTGCTAGGATACATGCGCCGTATAACTGATTGATGGTAGGGTTAAACACAAACACCTTTCAGCACATACATACCTGGAAATAAATACTTTTTAAGAGGTGAAGAGAGGTATCTACTTACCTCAAAACCAAGTACTGACAAACTCTCTTCACTAACTGTGGTTATACAGCTTCTGTAAGTTATGTAAGCCTGCAATCCACTCGCAGAAGTGGAAGGATCTTGCAACAAACTTCTTTGCCTTATTGGGTATGTGTGAGCAATTTCACTCTCTAAATCAGATCGGTTGTGAATTATCTTGCTCTTCTCTTCCATCGTACGGTCTCTAATTTCCTCGCATTTGAAAGGAATTCGATATCCAGTTTCACTGCAGCGGTATTTTGCATCACTCTGCAATAAAGAAATCAGTATTACTGTACTAAAGTGAGTAGTACTAAGCATCAATAAGCTTCATGATTATGTAAGTGAAGGATTTAAAATTTCCAGACTCAAAAGCAACATATGATCAATCTTTGGCAGAAAAGTTGGGCCAGCCACTGGACAGAAAATTTTATCCTGTTCACACATCATGGAATATCAAGCATTGACAACACAATGGTTTCCTTTGTTGGTGAATGTGGCCTCTGCTCAAAAAAGCCTTTCTTCCTCTAGAGAGGTTTATTACTACAAGAAATTTAACAAGCACAATCTGCAGCACTCGCAAGGTTCCCACAGGCATATACTTTTTCCCCTTTCTGGAGTATGTAAACAATACTCCTATCGTCCCATAAAAAGAGTTCTATTTTACAAAGTTATAACTAGAGTCCATTGCCAATGAAGCTAGAAGAGCCGATATTTTAAAATGTTCTAGCTTCAAGTAAATAACGGACTAAATAAAGAAATGGCACATTATACTTCCCTTACTTACGCAATAAAGCATCAAGGGCCTAACAGAAACAATCTCTCTGTGTTTTTAAAGCTCTAGGTCAAAATGTTTAGGACATTTTTATGTAAAAAAAACATTTCTTCTGCTCAAATACTCTTTCCAATACAGGCACACAGTTTCCAATTTGAAATGGAGTAGAACGTATACAAGTCAGATAAGCAATTAAGCTTGTTCTTATTATACCAATTAACATAAAACAAAGATTCACGGATAAACCTCATACTCATTACTGTTCAAAAGTGAAATCGTGGCAAATAATGAAATCCCAACATGAAATTCAACTATAAAATTAAAATAATGCTCTGTAATTAGATAAGAGAGAGAGAGAGAGATTGAAGAACCTTCTCGGAGTAGGCACAAGGAACGCAGGGACCAGATGGAGAGCATTCGAAGGAGGCGTTTACTCCACCAGGCGTCTCCTTGAAGCTCAGCATGATTCGCCGAGCATCTTCTTCTCCTCCTGATCCTTCCGCCAGAGAGGGAACACAAAATACAATGCTAGAAATGAAAATTAGAAGAATCGCCGACGAGCCGGACGAAATCATTCGATTCGCTTTCCACCGGTGAAGCATGTTCACGGTGACTGTGTTCCCACGCCGGTGGCTGGACATCCAAATGGATTTCTCGGATCTCGGTATACTCGGTGTAATGTGTTTTTTTTTTCTATTTTTTTTTTTTGAAAAAACCAAAATCAGCCCTGAGTAGTCACTATTACACTTTTATTTTTTTATAAATAATTACCTTTTTATATTCAAATTAAATTTTATCATTTATAAATTAATAATACAAAATAATACCGAACACAAAATTATTACTTCATTATTATATTTTCGTTATTATATTTTTTCATTATTAATTTTTTTTCTTATTGATATTTTCCTTTTTATATATAACAAATTTCTGCACCCAAAAAAAAAAACAATGTCTTAAATAATACTTCTTCCGTCCGAAAATGTTCTTCCTATTTTCCTTTTTGGTCCATTTGAAAATATTACTATCATTTCATTTTTTTAATCTACATTTTAAGGATAAATTTAATAATAATCTTCCATTTCTCACTAATCTATTTTTTTATTGTTTTTTAATAAGAAAAAGAGATTTAAAGTTTATAGTATGTGTATTTTTAAAAAATTGGCACTTTTTTAGTATTTGTTAATCAACATATTAAGTCAACACGGGAATAATAATAATAATAATAATAATAATAATAATAATAATAATAAATTAAAGTTGATTTAGCTAAAGATTGATGTAGAGCATATATGGAGCATCAGTTTACTTCATTTTTTTAAAGAATTGTTTAATGAAACAATAGTATCTTAGTACGAATTGGTCTTAAATATACACTAAACCCCTAAAATTCCACCTACCCGGGTCAAATCATTTTTGGATTTGAATCGCACCGATCCGGTGGATTCAGGTCTACTCTCATATGCTGTAAAAATTTGAATTTGGGGTTTCAATCCGGTTTGGGTCGAATTCGGTATAATACGATGCAATCCAAAAATATTATCCTAAGCCAGTCCAAATACGTTGGCCCACTTGCATTCTGTTCTTTTTCCTTCTTTTTCCGTGTTATTCTAAAATTGTAATTTACCTAAATAAAACTAAAACATAATAACTTTCTCAATATAGGATCATATGTTTTTATTTTCCAATGTAAGATCATTGGTCATTTTCTATTAGTCATTATTCAACTAAATGTCCAGCATCACTTGAACATTATTATTCTTCTCACTAGTCATTATTAAGTCCTATTTAGGGAATAAAAAAAATTAAGTCCTACATTGGGAAATGACTTATGTTTTAGTTCTATTCAGTGCAAATTTCACATTTTAAAATCTAAATTCTTCACCCGACACCCATTTGGCAATCCTTTCCGTAGTTTATCTTATACTTGTTGTACTAGGAATAAAATTACTCCCTCCGTCCTATAGTGATCTTTCCGGTTCGCAAAACGAAGAAAAATCCCAAGTTTTTTCAATCTATTTTATTTAAATATTGGTATAGAAATAAAAAATAAAACATACATATTTAAAAACTACATCAAAAGTTCAACAAAACAAGTGGTGACAAGAATATTTTATTTTATCATATAGGCCATGAAAAAACACAAATAAATATAAATTCCCGTGAAATTGGAATAGTGCTCTGGGAAGATCATTATAGGACAAAGGGAGTATGGTACAAATGGAAATTTATTTGTTTGTTTTACTCTCTTTCTATTTAAAGATGGTTAGACCTTTGTAATATCATAAGACAAGTCAATATACGGAATATTTTCTCTCTTTTTGTTTTCTACATGGTATCAGAACAAGTTTTCGAGTTTTGAGGTCTCAAATACGCTTCCACTCTCTAGCCAGTGGGCATATACACTTCAATGCCTATCGGTGAGATATTGTGATCTTTAGTTTTTTCCCAGTATAATTGCTAGACGTGTCTATTTGCTGCGTTCGACCAGCATAGCAACCAGTGTAAGTACGCTAGAGGCAGTGGCAAGTGCACTCTGTCCCTAAAGTTGGTATGACAAATGGTTGTTCTTCCTTGGCGAAGAACGTGACTGTTGAGGAATCGCAATCACTAATCAAGAAGAAGCCATCCAACAAGGATTGTGTTACAGAATGAGGATAATTTTCAAGGTCAAATTTTTTTAAAAAAAAGGCGTTTAGGATGTCCGAAAAGAATGACATTTGTCCTGTTCGTTTGAATTCAGTGAAGGATTGAAAAGAATGAAAAGAATGGTGTTCCTTTACTCGATTTATTATTCGACGGATTTAAAAAGAGTGGCGTCTGCGCATCGAAGAAGAAGAAAATTAATTGTTGAAGTGTACGTTCAGATTACACTTGAACAAAGATCGTTTGATTATGTGTTGTATAAGTTGGGCACTCGTAATCATCGCGCTCTAGCTTGAGAGGAGGTGTTACGAGAGAGGCATAGAAAAGGAAACCAAATACCATAGCTTGTTGGGATTCGGTTTAGTGACTTTCGTAGTTTATCCTATTCTTGTTATAGTAGGAATATAATAAAATTATGGTAGAAATAAAAATTTATTTACTTGTTTTGCTCTCTTTCTATATAAAGAGAGTTACACCTTTGTAGTATCATAAAACAATTCAATATATAAAATATTTTCTCTCTTATTGTTTTCTACACTTTCCGTCCCTCATATAGCACAAAATGAAATTTTTTTAAAAACGGTAAAAGAAACAAGGGATTTTGCAGCTTTTAAAAAAACGGTAAAAGAAATATAATAAAAAAACTGAAAATGATACTAAAACACTCTTATTGAAAAAGGAAAATAGAGCTAGTAATTGTGCAGATGAGGATTTTTTTACGGAGACTTCCAAAAATTCAAATTTTTTTTTGATAAGATTCTTTTATGTGACACCCACCAAAAAATAAGGATTTCATTCACCAATTCCTAACAAAGTTGGTAATTTGAAACAAATTGAAAAATTGGAACAATCATTTTCAAAAACAAATTTGAATATTTGAAACAATGTCCTTTTTATTTTTAAAACTAAAAACAATAACCTTTTTAGAGACATTACCCAAATTAGGAACTTTTTTTTGAACGTTTCGAATAATAACCATATCAGTGCACTCTTTCATTTTTAAAATCTAAAAACAATTCCCTTTCTTTTTTGAATGTCCAAAAAAAATCTTCTCTTTCAGAAAACAAAAAAAATGTTAAATCTAAGATAAATACTCTACGCTGATTTTTTCATTTCATTAATTTTTGTTTTCAAACACAAACAATTCTGAATTTTCAAAACATTATAAAAACAAAATTTTGAAAAAGAAAAAAAAATTATGAAAAACAAACAAAGAGAAGAAAACAGTGAAATAGGTTCTGGTGTCCTTGTTGTTTGAAAAATGGACATCAATGTCCCTCACTATCGAACTTCAATTCAACCGCACTCGAGGAGCGTGAATGTCAAAAGCCGAAAGTTTACCAATGGATGATGCATATATTTATAAGTACGCTTTGAAAAGAGAGGGTATTTGAGTCCATTTCCCAAACCACATGAAACATGAAGGTATTAAGGTACACCAAAATAGGATATCTTATTTGTACACCAAGCATTCATATACACAACGGACACTCATAAAATGTCTCTGTGTGCTTGTGAATGATTTATGTACAAATGAGGTACTTCATTTTCGTGTACTTCAAGGTTAATTGTAATTGAAAAAATAAAGAAATATACTAGAGGTGTCCCACTTGGTGTACGAAAAGAGGAATGTCTGTACATGTACAAACACTGAATGTATGTGTGTGTCTGTTTTTGCCTTAGTGTACACAAGTGGGATACCCCTAGCAAAACCCAAAAACAAACCAATGTGATGGGAGCATTCAACTTCAAATACTTGGTACTACTTTCTATGAAATCTTGGATAATCAATTCACCAAATAATATAATTCAAGAGTATAACATTAAAGAACAAATCTTGGATAATATATTTTACAAGGCCAAGGTTGCCTGTGTTGGGATCACATTGGGCATGTGGTTTCTAGCCTAGTTGGTTGGATATGAACAAACACACTGATAAATGTGATATTAGTCATTTCCTGATGAAGCATTGAATGAATTTGTGAGCCTAGCTACCAACAAGTATTTCCGGTGGTCGCCGGCGGTGACATTATCACCGGCGGAACCCCAAAACAGTGCTGCCGCTGCATTTCCTCCAAGGTCTTCTCCAGTCCGTTGACCCGCTTCTCTAATGAACTCATCCCCTTTTGAGAATTCCCAATGAATCTCTGAAATATAATTAAAGTTTTTTTTTCTCTCTCTAGATATCAAAACAACATACTCGGTATAATCTTTTCTTTAAAAAAATACAAACTTTTTTTAAACAAAAAAAAAAAGCGAGAACTTTTTTTCGAGACGAAAGGGATTGTTTGGTATTCTAAAACTTTGCTCAAGTCACTTTAACTTTTTTGAACCACGAGGTCGCATTCTTATTTATGAGTTCTAATAACATTAAAGTTTAGGTTAAATTTCGCCGTTGGTTTTCATGTTATTGGGTCACACACGTAAAGTTAGTCTTTCAATTTTAAAAATTTTCAAATAGTCTTCCAAATCACGTTCGCATTGTATTGTTGATATGTCTTTCCGTTAATTTTGCCATTAGTTTATGTATTTTTCTGTTTTCCATTATAAATACATGTGAGGAGCATTTTCTTTTCCATACAATTAAGTCATACTTCACCCAGATTCATTTTAATTAAAATTATTGGTCAAAATTTCACCTTGATTGAGTAGAAAAATTCAAAATTGATACACTTTAAAACAGTGAATATTTTTAGAGAAAAATTGGACTAACAAAGGCAAAAGTAACATAATACGGAGTATTATTTTAAAAATTGGAGTAATAAAAGTAAGACTAACAAAGGCAAAAGTAACATAAGAAAAATGGATGGGACTTATTATTATTAAGAAATAATCGTGATAACTTGCAATAGTAAAATTTAACTTAATGTCTAATAATTTACCTCTTCAAGGTAGTGTCTTGGTCAGTCCGTGGAACCTTATGATGAGGTCTCCTTTTTTTCTTTTTTTTGCGAGAGGAAAGTAAAATTTTAATTTTCCTAGGGAGGTTTTTT